ACCAGAAGATTGTTCAACACAATCCCTGGAGGCAGATGTTGAATTACAATACTGAGACACCTGTGCAAAATAGATGGGTACTAGCGGATGTCACCTTTGTCCCTAAGAACCAGATTTTGGATCTCTCAGGAAAGAGATGCACAGATTCTCTGGGCGGACGTCTTCTAAGAAATCACGGCTATGCGGGAGCGCTGTTTACTTCCGCATCCTGAGCCGCTAAGGAGCCCTTCTCACCACTCTGACCTCAGTGATTCTTCAACAGCTGGTGTAGCTCTACATTATGTTGATGCATTTATGCTGTGTCAGAATAAAGGAAGACACGTTGATTTTTAGGAGAAGACTGTCTTAGAGAATGTATGGTCTTCATACTTTTTAGATCATGGGTGACTTGGGTGACTTTTGACTAGTAGAAGAGAGCAGTTAGTATTTTGTGAAGTGTGGTATTGTTACAGAACAAACAAGGGGGGCCTGGGACGGTATACCATTATTGAAAGAAGCCCCCAGGTCCGTTATGTCTGCTGCCAGAGGAAAGACATCTCTCAATGCCAGAGATTTGTGAAAAGGAAAGGAAATGTTTATTTAATGCTATACAAACTTAAAGTAGTGACCTAATGTCTTTATCAAAAATCCTAAAGTCCCTTAAAACACCCACAAACAAACACAGTCCTTCCTTCCTTCCCCCTTTGCCCAGGCTGGGATACCATATCTCAGGAAAGGAAATAGAAGTCCATGTCTCAGGCAGTCCTCTGGTTCTTCCCAGTTAGAACTCCATCTCGACTGGGAGACCTCCCTGGGTTCCTGGCACCCTCAGCTGAGTCGCTGGGATCTCTGCTAAAACCAGGTGGTGGTTCCCCCTTCTAAAGCTGCACGGGTCCCCACTCTGGCAAAGGCACATAGTTCTCTCTCCCAGGGCCACGGGAGTCCCCACTCTGTCAAGGCCGCGTGCTTCTCCCTCTCTACAAAGCTGTGGAAAGGGGGAGTCCCCACTCTGCCAAAACCACGTGCTTCTCCCTTCAACGGCTGCCATGTCTGAGTTTAAATCCCTGTGTCAATCTTCCTCTGCAGCCCCATTTCCGACTCCTCCCACACTCGGGCACACTTGCCCTCAATATGCTGTCTTCTCCAGCTTTTCTGGTCGCCATCATGGGTCTGGGCAGGTGTGACCCCATGTCATGGAGCCAATCTTCTCCAAGCTCGCACACAGGCGCTGTAACTCAGGGGACCTGCCCCCCAGTCCCATCTTGGGGGGAGGTCCCTTTCCATCCTCCTGGCCTAGAGCATGGCCATAGCTATTTAGCATATCTAAGTGACCAGCCAAAGGCTATAGGTATGTTAAATGACCACGCCATGGATTAGCTGCAAAGCTGCCCTGCATGTTCTTGCTCTGTGTGCCCCTTCCCCCAACTCACACCTGTGGGGGAAGGGATGAAGACATCTTAAAATCTCTTGGACACCTTGAGTTCTGGACCCCATTTCAAATGCCTATTTGGGGTCCCCCCTCTTGGCTGTACCCTGTAACAGTATCATTAGTATTATTGAGATACCAAGCAGGTAGCCATTGCCAAAAGCCACCTTTAATCTCGGTAGAATAGCTCCTCTTTATGTCTTGGCTGTATTAGTTTCCTTTTACTGTGTAACAAATTGCTATATACTTACTGGATTAAAACAATGCTAATTTATTAGCTCATAGTTGTATGTTGCAAACCCAGTATAACAAGGCTGAATTTTCTACTCAGGTCTCACAAGGCCAAAATCAAGGTGTTGTCAGAGCTGACTTCTTGTTCTGAATCTTGGAGGAAGAATGTGCTTCCAGGCTTATTCTTATTAGTGGAATTAAATCCCTTGGTCTAGTGTCTCCATTTCCTTGCTGGTTCTCAACATCTAGAGGCTGTTCTCAGGTTCTTTCCACATAGCTCATCCATTTTCAAGCCAGGAACCTTATTTCAGCTCCTTCTTATGCCTGGAATCTTTCTGACTTCCTCCTCCATCACTCACGGCTCAACAGAGAAAACGCTCTGCTTTGATTTATTTTTTAATTATATTTTATTGTTTATGCTGTTAAAGTTGTCCAGGTGTTTCCCCTTGGCCCCCTCCACTCAGCTCCCCTACCCCCTCAGGCAGTCCCCACACCATTGTACTTGTTCATGGCAACATTATTAACAGTAGCCAAGATCTGGAAACAGCCTAAGTGCCCATCAATAGATGAGTAGATAAAAAGAATATAGTATATTTACATAATGTAATACTAAACAATAATAAAAAATAAAGAACTCTTACCTTTTGTGATAGCATGGATGGACCTGGAGGCTATTATGCTACGTGAAAACTCTCTGCTTTTATTTTTTATTTTTATTTTTTTTAATTTAATTTTATTATATTTTTCCCATTACCATTTAGTCTCTTTATACCTCCGTCCCTTCATCAATCATCATGCAGTTGTCCATGTCCGTGAGTCCCTTTGTCTTTTTACTCAATCCCTCCAACCCCTAACCTCGCTACCCCTTAGATATCATCTGCTCTCCATCTATGAGTCTGTCCCTGTTCTGCTTGTTAGTTCAGTTTTTCTTTAGGCTCCACATATAAGTGACATCATGTGGTATTTATCTTTCTCTGACTGGCTTATTTCACTTAACATAACATTCTCCAGGTCCATTCATACTGTTGCAAAGGGTAAAATTTTCTTCTCATTTACAGCTGAGTAGAATTCCATTGTGTATATATCCCATAATTGTTTCATTCACTCATCTATTGATGGACACTTGGGCTGCTCCTATATCTTGGCAATCGTAAATGATGCTGCAATGAATTAGTGTTTTATGTTCTGTCAGATATATTTCCAGAAGTGGGATCACTGGGACAACAGGCAGATCTATTTTTAATTTTTTTGAGGTATTTCTGTACTGTTTTCCACAGTGGCCACATCAGTCCACATTCACAGCAATAGTACAAAAGGGTTTCCCTTTCTCCACATCCTTGCCACACTTGTTGTTTGTTGATTTATTGATGATAGCCATTCTGACAGGTGTGAGATGACATCTCATTGTGGTTTTAATTTGTATTTCTCTGGTGATTAGTGATGTTGAGCATCTTTTCATATGCCTATTGGCCATCTGTGTGTCCTCTTTGGAGAATTGTGTATTCAGGTCCTTTGACCATTTTTTTAACTGGGTTGTTTGTTTTTTTGGTGTTGAGTTTTGTAAATCCTTTATAAATTTTGGACATTAACCCTTTTCAGATGTATCAGTGAATATGTTCTTGGAAACTCTCTGCTTTCAAAGTGCACATATGATTAGGTGAGACTCACCTAGCCAGAAACTTATTCAGAAAGGAATAAAGAGTGATAGAAATGGAAAAATATGTGGATAAATATAGCAAATTGTTTAAATTAAAAATAATTTTAATAGTCAACTACCAACAAAAATAACTATAATCTATTTTGGGTTATGTAATTGATATAAAGTTGTACATACACACACCAGCACAAAGAACAGAAAAGGTAAATCAAAGTGTAATATTACAAAGTTGTCACATTATACTTGTAGTGGCACAGAATTAAGTAAAGTTAGATTATTATGAGTTAAAGATGCATACTGTCATCATATGAGCATCCATTAAAGCTTTAAGACAATGAAATATAGCTAAAGTACCAATAAGGATAATAAAATTGATTAATGAAAATTTGATCCAAAAAGGAAAAGAGTAACCAAGAAACAAAAAACAGATAGGACAAGTAGAAAACAAATCTCATAATGGTAGGCTTAAGCACAACTTAATATATTATAATTAAAAACCAATAATTTAAAACTTAAAAATCAATAGCCATATTTCTGTAAATGGCTCAAAAACTTAAAAGACACAGATTATTAGAGGGATTTTTTAAGTGCAAAAACTTAACCATATGTTATTTATGAGGCACCATCTTAAATATAAAGAGAAACAGATTTGAAAAATGGAAAAATATATTTCATACAAGTACTAGTCACAAGAAAGATTTTATGGATATTCAATGTCAGACAAATTGGGTATTTATACAAAAACTATTGCAAGCATTTAAGTGGAGCATTGAATAATGAAAAAGTAAATTCATCAAAAAGATGTAACTATCTTAACTGTGTAAGTACCTGATGATGACAAAACTTCAAACTATTAGAAGCACAAATGGATAGAATTTAAAGAGATAAATGAAAATATATTGAAAATTTTAATACCACTGTATGAGCAATTGCTAAAACAAATAGATAAGAACACAATAAGAATGAAGAAGTCTTGAACAATACATTCAACAAATTTGACATAATAACTTTCTATTGAATGCTATTTCCAACAATGGCAGAATACATATTTTTTTCTAAATTCACATAAAATATTTATCTAGGTAGACCATAGGCTGGACCATATAGAAAGCTCAATAACTAAAATGATGGACATAGTACAGAATGAGTTCTTTGACCAGACCAGAACTAAATTAGAAATCAATAACAATAATGAACTAGAAAAGCCTAAAACATTCAACAAAGGGAGCTGATCTGCCTGGCAATGGCAAATGTAGCCTAATCCTATTGAAAAGCCCAATAGGCGTGTGGTAGCACACAGGATGCCAAATCCACAGACCAGTTCTCCTGTGAATCAGGCCTGAATTATAACTAGGCTGCTTTGTGACTTGCTCTTGCTAAAACTCCTCACCCTGAGTTCAAGCAGCAAACGCTTACTGCATATCTTTAAAGTAACCTCCTGAAGTCTGTGCTAATGCTCCCAAGGACTGAAGTGTAACCAGACCAATTACTCATATTGTTCCCTTGCATTTGCAAATTTTTTTCCTTGTTAATCTGTAAGAAGTATCAGTAACATCTTTTCCATTGCTATCTGTAAAAAGTAATTACCTAAAGCAAACCTAAGTATAATGAATGAAAACCTGTTCTGATGTATCCTATTAGAAAGCCAATAAAAGCTTGTCAAGGTGAGGGTCGGAGCTCTCTCCTCTTGAGAGAGTGGCCAGGCTGCTCCAAGGTGCTCTCCCCTTGAGAGGGTAGCCGTGCTGTCCCTTTTTCTCCCCAGGACTCGGTAGTCCATGTGAGTTTGTTTTGTCTCATCCACAATGCCGTGGACAATGCTGACCGGTGCCTGCATCAATTTGAAAATGACATTAACACACTATAAAATGAGCTACAGGTAAGAGAAGAAATAACAAGTAAATTTAGAAAATATTTTAAACTGCATGATAATAAAATCACAACTTATCCAAATATGGGGGATGCCTCTATAGCAGTGGCCCCCAACCTTCTTGTCACCAGGGACCAGTTTCATGGAAGACAGTTTTTCCACAGACCAGGGTGGGCAGATTGGTTTTGGGATGATTCAAGCTCATTATATTCAAGCTCACCTCCTGCTGTGGGTCCGGTTCCTGACAGACACAGACTGGTACTGGTACGTGGCCTAGAGATTGGGGACCCCTGCTATACAGCATAACTTTGAGAGAAATTTATAGCTTTAAATGCGTATATGAGAAAAAAAGTTTCAAGTTAAGCAGCTAAGGAAAAGAGTAAATTAATCCCAAATAAGTAGATACAAGGAGAAGATATTAGTAAGTGGTAAGTCAATGAAGAAAAAAACAAAAGAGAAAAATCCTTTGAATAGAATAATGAAATTGACACCTTCTAAGGGTGGTGAGAAAGGGGGAGAGAAGGGGGAGAGGGGAGGGGAGGGGAGGGGAGGGGAGGGGAGGGGGGAGGGGGAGGGGAGGGAGGGGGAGGGAGGGGAGGGGAGGGGAGGGGAGGGGAGTGGAGAAGAAGAGAGGAGGAGAGGAAAGAAGAAGAGAAGATTATAGTAGTCCCTGTTTATCTGCAGTTTTGCTTTGTGTGGTTTCAGTTACCCATGGTCAACCACAGTCCAAAAATATTATTGGAAAAATTCAGAAATAAACAATTCATAAGCTTTACATTGTGCTCCATTCTGAGTAGCATGATGAAATTTCTCACTAACTCGCCCAGCCCCATCCAGATGTGAATCATGCTTTTGTCCAGGGTATCTACACTGTATACACTCCTGGATCATTAGTCATTTAGGAGCTGTGTTGGTTATCAGAGCCACTCTGGCAGTATTACCAGAGCACAGTATACCTGTGCTCAGGTAACCCTTATTTTATTTAATAATGGCCCCAAAGTGCAAGAGTAGTGATGCTGGCAATTTGGATTTTCCAAAGAGAAACAATAAAGTGCTTCCTTTAAGTGAAAAAGTATGTGTATATAGGAAAAAACATAGTATATGTAGGGTCTGATACTACCCAAAGTTTTAGGCGTCCAAGGGGTGGGGAGGTTGGCACGAATCCCTGGTGGATAAGGGAGGACTGCTGCAGTTGGCAGTGCCAGGCATGAAAGATCTTATAAGGACAAAAGCTTCACAGTGAAATTTTAACAACATATGCAATAGTTAAATTCCTTGAAAATCACAGCTTACCTAAACTGACCCAAACAAAAAAAAGCCTAGGAATTATCGATAGCCCTATATTTCTTAAAGAAATTGGATGTATAATTAAAAAATTTCCTGCAAAGAAACCTCCAGTCTCAAATGGCTTCACTAGAAAATTTTATTAAACATTTAAGGAAGAAATAATTCAAATCTTACCCAAATTCTTTCATAAATTATAGGATGAGGGAATAGTTTCTGACTTGTTTCATGAAACCAGCTTAAACTTGATACCATAACCTTGACGACAAACACATAATAAGAAAATAAAATTACAGTCCAAACTAGTTTGTGTTTCCAGATGGGAAACATTATCAGTTAGAAAGTAACTTTTATCCATAAGAGGTAGTACTTATTTGAAAGTCAGTGTTACTTGTAATTGCAGAAAGGCATCCCATATTGGTGAATTCAGCTCAGTAAAATGTCTTCTCTTATTGATCAATGGGTTGTCTCCTCAAGGACTGCCTTTATTGTGGAAAATTATGTCAGAAATTAAGTAAGCACTGGAAAGTTAAATCCTGTTTGTGTGTGTGTGTTTGTATTGGTGGGAGTGTCACACATTAGAACTGAGTGTTTTACTTGTAATTCATTGAGTATCAGAAGTATCGTAGTGATCCCCTAAAATGGTGAAAGCCCTTTCTCTCTCTTTTTGGTCTGTGTTTATGATATCTTGAGATTGTATGGTAATCTTTGAAATATTTTCATGTAAATGTTCACTTTTTGTTGGCTCATTTATTGTTAAAGTATAGTAATACCCTAAGTCCAAGACGCAGGGTCTGTTTAAAGCACTGGACAATTTTAAGGATTTCAGAAAATTCTAATTTAATACATTCTGAGCATGTGCCCCTTTGAAAAAAATGCCTTGTTTTTTTAGAGCAATTTTAAGTTTACAGCAAAACTGAGCAGAAAATAGTTCTCACATACTCCCCCACCTCCAAACACTCACAGCCTCCCCCGTTAACATCTTCTGCCAGAGTGGTACATTTGTTAGAACTGATGAACCTGTACTGACACATCGTTACCACCCAAAGTCCACAGTTTACACCAGAATTCACTCTTGGTGTTGTATAATGACATCTATACACTGTTATTATACAGAATATTTTCACTGCTGTAAAAATCCTCTGTGCTCTATTTCTCCCTGCTCTCTACCCACTGACAAAGGCTGATCTATCTTTATACTGTCTCCATGGTTTTGCCTTTTTTAGTATGTCATATAGTTGGAATCATACAGTATGTAGTCTTTTCACATTGGTATCTTTTACTTAGTAATATGTATTTAGGATTTCTCTACACTTTCTTTTATGGCTTGATAGATCATTTTACTCCCCCAAACATTCCATCGTCTGAATGAAGTACAGTTTATTTACCTATTTACCTGCTAAAGGATGTCTTAGTTGCTTCCAAGTTTTAGCAATTACGAATATAGGTGTGACACTATAAATATCCATGTGCATGTTTTGTTTGAACTTAAGTTTTCAAGTCCTTTGGGTAAATACCAAGAGTCATAATTGCTGGGTTATATGCTAAGAGTATGTTCAGTTTGTAAGAAGCTGCCAAATTGTCTTCCAAAGTGACTGTATCATGTTGCATTTCCATCAGCAATGAATTAGAGTTCTGTTGGTCCATATCCTTGCCAGAGTTTTATCAGATTTTTTAATCAAATATGTCTTTTGCAAATATTTTCTCCCAGTCTGTGGTTTGTCATTTCATTCTCTTGACAGTGTCTTTTGCAGAGAAGAAAATTTTAATGTTAATGAACTTCAGTTATAAATTCTTTTGTTCATGGATTTTCCCTTTGGTGTTGTATCTAAAAAGTCATTACAAAACCCAAGGTCATCTGGATTTTCTCCTGTGTTATCTTCTAGTTTTACAGTTTTGTGTTTTACATTTAGGTCTGTGATCCATTTTGAATTAATTTCTGTAAGGGGTGGAAAGTCTGTGTCTGATTTATTTTGTTGCATGTGCAAGTTAAATTGTTCCAGCACCATTTTTTGAAAAGACTATCATTGCTCCATTTTATTGTCTTTGATCCTTTGTCAAAGTTCAGTTAATTCTATTTATATGGGTCTATTTCTGGAATTTCTGTTTTGTTCCATTAATCTATTTGTGTTATTATTTCACTGTTATCATACTGTCTTGATTTCTGTAGCTTTATAGTAAGTCTTAAGGTCAGCTAGTGTCAGTCCTCCAAATTTGTTCTATATCATGTGGGCTATTCTATTTCCTTGCCTTTCCATATAAACTCTAGAATCTACTTGTTTATATTTACAAAATAACTTGCTGGGATTTGATTGAAAGTGTATTAAATCTATAGATCAAGCTTGGAAGAACTGATGTCTTAACAATATTGAGCCTTTTTATTCCATGGACAGCAAATATCTATTTACTTAGTTCTTTGGTTTTTGTTCATCAGAGTTTTAGAGATGTCTTCACATAGATCTTGTACATATTTTTTAGATTTATACCTCAGTATTTCACTTTTGGGAGTGGTAATGCAAATGTTATTGTATTTTAATTTTTAAATTCTACTAATTTATTGCTGGTATAAAAGAAGCAATTGACTTTAATATGAGGTCTGTCCAGAAAGTATCTAGCCATGTAGTATGAAAAATAGAGACATTTATTTAAGAAGACACAAGATACAAGAAACATTGTACATGGGAAAAATGATACCTCAGTCCCATTCAAAGTAGGCACCTTGGAACCTCATATAGTTCTCCCAGCATGATGTTCCTTCTGCTCTCATAGCAGAAACCATGGAACAAATTTTGCCATGACACATTGCATGCCAACATCCTGCATCAAAATCTTGGGCACAATAGTTATTGGAATCCCCAGATCAGCTTGTAGTTCTTGCACCATCAGTCAACAATCTTGGTTGATTGTAGCCCGTATATGATCAACATTGTCAGGTGTTGTGCTTGTTGCAGGACTTCCAGAATATGGATCACTTTCAACAGCTTCTTGACCATCTTTGAAGCATTTGTACCACACTTTTATTTGCATAGCACTCATTGCATCATCCCTGAAAGCCTTCTGAATCATCCAAATGGTTTCCGTGGAGGAATGCTCAAGCTTAACAAAAAAATTGATTCAGATTCATTGCTGTATTCACTCAGTCACTTTGAATGCAATCACCACACAGTACACATGCTCACTCAAGGGTGTCTACTACCCCCACTGACTAGTACAGTGAAGTCGTTGTTCATGCATGTGCATTCCAGTTCACTCTCCTTGGCTGCCAGGTTCTACTGATTTTGCACAAACTTTCTCATTATACTAACAATGACTGGACTTTTTCCAGACAGACTTCATATGTTGTTAACCTTGTAGCCTATGACCTTGCTATAATTGCTTGTTAGTTCCAGTAGTATTTTTTTGTTATTGATTCTTTTGCACTTTCTACTTAGAAGACCATGTTATCTGTGAACAAAAACAGTTTTATTTCTTCCTTTATAACCTGTATACTTTTTATTTAATTTTCTTGTCTTATTTCATTAACTGAGATTCCAGTATGATGTTGAAAGGAGTTGTGAGAAAGAACATCAATGCTGGCCTTGCACTGAAGGGAGAAATCTTATTTGGATACTTTGAGGTAGATTGGTTCAGGTCCAAGGCCTTGAGATGCCTGGAACATTTCTGTTGATGGAAGATGT